TCCAGTCAGGATACGCCATCCCATTCCTATCTCTCCCTCCCACAAATCCACCATCCCGTCCCTTTTCAGGGACCCATTTCACAAGGACTTATTACACACCGAGATTACTCACCTACTGCGTATTGGTGCCACCGAAAGGGTTCCTCCTCAGTTCCAAGGGAGAGGGTTCTACGCCCGCTACTTTCTGGTTCAAAAGAAAACTGGTGGATGGAGACCTATATTGGACCTCCGACAACTAAACAAATACCTCCACAAGCAACACTTCAAGATAGTGACCTTGGCTTCCATACTTCCCACTCCTGGAGCAGGGCGATTGGTTTGCTGCTGTCGACCTCAAGGATGCTTATTTTCACGTAACAATTCATCCCACCTACAGGAAATTTCTAGGATTCACAGTTGGTACAGATCACTTTCAGTACCAAGTCTTGCCCTTCAGCCTTGCATCAGCGCCCAGGGTCTTCACAAAGACATTAGCAATGGTTGCTGCACATCTTCGACGCAAGGGGGTGATAATAAACCCTTACCCAGGCAATTGCCTTCTGAAAGCAGGCTCGTCGACGGAAGCATCAGAAATGCTGCAAGTTACAATCAAAACCTTCCTTCTCTTAGGCTTCCTTATCAACAATGACAAATTCATTCTTCATTCAACCCAAAATAGAGAATTCATAGGAGCTTGTCTGGACTCCATTTCATCAAGAGCTTACCTGCCTACCGACAGATTTCAAGCAATACAGACACTGCTGGATGAGCTCCTCTTCAAGTGATCCGTTCAGGTTATAACAGTGCTCAAGCTGATGAGCCATATGGCCTCTATGACATACATTGTACCCCATGCCAGATTACACTTTTGGCCACTACAGCATTGGTTTCTAAAGGTCTACAATCTGATAAGGCACAGTGTGCACAGAACAGTGACTATGCCCGATACAGTCAAAGCTTCTCTCCCCTGGTGGACCAGAGACAACAGCTTGCTCTCTGGTATCCCGTTTTGCCAGCCCCAACCTCATTACCACATAACTACAGATGTGTCTCTTATCGGCTGGGGGTCCATATGGGCAATCTTTCCATTCAAGGCCTCTGGTCTCCGCAGGAGTCTGCTGCACATAAATCTCCTAGAGCTCAGAACCGTCGCCAACACCTGCAGACATTTTTATGCACACCTCCGCAATTCTACGTTCACTGTCTTCACAGACAACATAGCGACTATGTACTACATAAATCATCAAAGCAGTGCGCGATCCCACTCGCTCTGCACAGAGTCAACTCGATTATGGAATTGGTGCATTGCCAATGGCATAGCCCTTGTGGCATCCTACTTACCTGGCATCACCAACACAATAGCGGATTCCCTGAGCAGGAATTTTGCAACAGATCACAAATGGGGGGTTCATCAGGGAGTCCTCCATTCCCTATTTCGACAGAGGGGCACTCCTCAGATAGACATATTTGCGTTGCTATGGCTCCAGAGCTGGTCTCGGCCCCAATTCTCTGGGGGACACCTTCCTACATGACTGGGGGGGTCCCTTCATGCACGCTTTTCCGCCTATGCTTCTTATCTCCAAAGTCCTTCAAAGGATCAAAATAGACAAAGCTACCGTGATATTAATAGCACCCACATGGGCATGCTAACATTGATATCCACTTCTCCTACGACTAGTGCAATATCCTCCATACCATCTCCTGTTAATTCCAAACCTCCTCACTCAGGAGCAAGGCTCTCTTCTGCACCCACAGTTACACTCCCTACACCTTACAGAATAGTACCTAGTTGGCTAAACTCTCCTGAAACCTTTTGCTCTGACCAAGTAATGAACGTTCTCGTTCACAGCAGAAAGCACAACACGCAATTTACTTACCTTGCAAAGTGGACACAATTTACTTCTTGGTGCTCTCAGCGACGTATGGATCCTCAGACAGCTCTTATCCATGTTATCCTGGACTATATAATGCACCTGAAACAGAGTGGACTTGCCTTAGCATCTCTTAGAGTTCATCTCACAGCACTCATAGCCTTTCGGCACTCGATTGATGGCGTGTTAGTGTGTGCCCACCCTTTCACTAAGATTCCTGAAGGGCCTAATGAACATAGATCCACCCACACGGGCTCCCCCTCCTTTGTGGAATCTAGACTTGGTCCTTTGGGCTCTTACAGCACCACCCTTTGAGCCTCTAGCTACGATTTCTCTTCAGACTCTCACGATGAAGTTGGTCTTCCTCATAGCCATCATCTCTGCGCGATAAGAGTTCAGCTCTGATGACAGTACCTCCATATACCATCTTCAACAGAGACAGTGTGATGCTCAGACATCAGCCAGCGTTCATCCCTAAGGTGTCCTCAGAATTCTACCTTGATGAACCAGTGGTGCTATCCGCTTTCTTCCCGAAACCTCATGCATCATCATGTGAGACTCTTCCACATGCTTGACATCCGTAGGGACCTAGCCTTTTACATAGAATGCACAAAGACCCTTAGGAAAATGGATAGATTAATAATCTTCCTTGCTGAACGCTCTAAAGGGGAGCCCTTGCCTTCATAGCATATTTCCATCATTATTGTTTCCTGCATCACCCAGTGCTATGCTGCACTAAGTGTGCCACTCCCACAGTGCCCTAGAGCCCACTCTACAAGGGCAGTAGCTACCTCCACCGCTTTCTTAAAGGGTGTCTTTCTGATATTTTTAGGACAACCACTTGGGCTTCTCACGGCATGTTTGTCAAATACTATGCCATTCAGTGCAGGTGGCTTCTGGATACTTCCGTGGCATCTGCTGTCCTTTCTTCCATTAATAAATAGTAGCCTCAGATTCTCCCTGGAATACCCAAGGGGACATCACTCGAGGAAGAAAGCAAAGTTACTCACCTCGGTGCAGTAACTCGTTCTTTGAGATGTGTGTCCCCGTGGGTGCTCCACTACCCACCTGCCTCCCCGCTTCAGTCTTTCTCTTTATTGCAGATCCTGAGGCGGGTCAGAGGAACCGGTTGGGACTGGCTCGCGCAGCGTGTCAAACTGCGAATGCCATGAGACACCCTGCCACGCATGCGCGTTCTGGTCAGGTACAGCTTTGAATATCTCTGTTCTGCGGTGCCGGGGCAAGCCCAGCACCTACAGTGGAGCACTCATGGGAACACACATCTCAAAGAATGACAGTTACTGCACCGAGGTGAGTAACTTCATTTTCTGGCTGCTGTTCGCCCTTGCATGCTCGTCTGAGGAACACTTAAAGGGCCAGTTTCCTTTTTGCTTTTCCCGGCATCTCAAATTTTCCTGTTTCTACAGTTTTCCGGATGCTTAAGTTCCGGATAGCGCAGGTTTTATTGTATTTTGGAGGATAGGGTTATGACGAAACCACCTGGCACAGGGGGCGGAGAGAGCCCCACCCACGCAGCCCTACTGGGTACGCTTCCAGGGGAGCCAAGGTATAAAAGGCTGCAGGCCTGCTCAGAAAGGGCAGACCTAGTGCCCAACCTCCCAAGTCGCAGACCGGACTGCCAGAGAGGGAGTCGCCAGGCCCACTGAATGCGCCGCTGCCAGGCCCAAGCCGGGCTCGACCCCAACGACAGAGCCGCCAGCCAACCCCCCGTGACCCAGGCACTGGACCGGACACCAATGTTGCTGGACCCACATCCACAGGTGGGACTGCTGTTGGCAAGGGGGTAGGAAACAACCCAGGGCGGGGACCAGGAAAGGACCCAGTGGGCTTGGAGAGTTTTGGGGAAAACTCCCTGCTGAGCCAGTGGTGGGAACTGCCTGCCACTGATAGGGCCCTGGGTTGGGGCCCAGTGGAGAGAGAGGGCCTGGGGCCCCCTATCCCTCCTGCCCTGGACCCCGGCGAGTGGGGGTCGGCTGAAGGACTAGGCCTTAGAGCCTGTGTACAAAGGACTAGGCCGGGAGGTCGTATTTCCCCTAATACAGGGGCAGCATACTGTGAGACTAGGCCAGTGGGCCGTATTTCCCCTAATAAAGGGGCATCGTACTTTGAGACTAGGCCCGAGTGGTCTAAACTATGCCCCAGACTTGGGCGGCACCTGCCCTGGACTTGGGCGGCACCCCCCCGAGGAGGGGTGGGGGGGGCTGCCCCCAGACAAGGGTCATAATTCAAAATGATCAGGACAAACTGAAGAAATGGTCTGAGGTAAATAGGATGCAGTTTAATAAGGACAAATGCAAAGTACTCCACTTTGTGTGAAACTGATTGTTCCTTCCTTACAGAATGGGAAGTAACTGTCTAGGAAGGAGTACTGCAGAAAGGGATCAAGGGGTTACAGTGGACCACAAGCTAAATGAGTCAGTGTGACACTGTTGCAAAAACATCAAACATGATTCTGGGATGCATTAACAGGAGTGTTGTGAGCAAGACATGAGAAATCATTCTTCCGCTCTGTTCTGTGCTGAGTAGACCTCAGTTGGAGTATTGTGTCCAGTTCTGGGCACCACATTTCAAGAAAGGTGTGGAGAAATTGGAGAAGGTCCAGAGAAGAGCAACAAAAAATGATTAAAGGTCTAGAAAACATGAGCTATGAAGGAAGACTGAAAGAATTGGGCTTGTTTAGTATGGAAAGTAGAGAGACTGAGAGGGGGCATGTTATCTATTTTCAGGTATCTAAAAGGTAACAAAGAGGAGGGAAAAAAATCGTTCTCCTTGGCCTCTTAGGATAAGACAAGAAGCAATGTGCTTAAACTGCAGCAAGGGAGGTTTAGGTTGGACATTAGGGAAAAGCTTCTTAACTGTGTCAGGATAGTTAAACACTGGAATAAGTTACTTAGGGAGGTTGTGGGATCTCCATCTCTGGAGATTTTTAAGAGTAGATTAGATAAATGTTTATCAGGAGTGGTCTAGATGCTACTGGGTCCTGCTGTGAGGGCAGGGGACTGGACTCAATGACCTATCAAGGTCCCTTCAAGTTCCAGTGTTCTATGATTCAAGTCTATCTGCTTCATGCTTTGTTAAAAAGATATTAATCTGTCTTTTTTCTGACTGCTTCTCCTTCTCTCCTTTCAGTATCCTGTACAAAACGAAACTACCTTTCATTCTGGCCATGAATAAGGTAAGTGGAATCTAGTGTCAGTGTCCAAGTGACTAAGTTACCTTTTTATACATTTTATCTAAACACGAATTATTTGCGTTCAATACGGGGGTAATTGGGTGAACCTCTGTGGCCTGTGTTATACAGAAAGTCAGAGTAGATAATGGTTGTTTCTGTTCTGAAGGAAAAAACCCTCTTTGAATAGGAGGCTTATTGCTGATGTAGAAAAGAAAGTCAGTTAAGCTTGGCTGTAAGGTAACTGATAGATATGATTAAATCTAGGTAAGTGACAGCATTTCAAGTTGGTAATCCATTAAATATTTTTGAAGGATGCTAGTTATGTCATCCTATCTGGTATCTCAACACAGGAGTTGAACTGAGTGGAATAGAAGAGTTTTGCTCTCCAGTAAATTCTCTCGAAACCGGATAAATTGCTAGATTCCTTCCTTTTCCTCTTTCTCATACCAAAGTGTTAAACTTTCTGTGATGCCTCAGTCTAGAGATGTTATTTTGTGGGGTCCTTTCCGGATGCTAAGTTTTGTAAAAGCATGTATGCAACTTAGAACACTATACTCCTAAATCACTTAAGGATCTTTTAAAAAAAAAATTCTCACAGAGGTTAGAATCTAAATATAAGATGAGGCACAATAGGTAAAAGTTTGACAGGCAATAATAGGGAGAAGGGAATTCAGGGCCAGGGTAACACTGCTAAGACTCTTCAGCTACAGAGGTAGCTAGTGCACAACATGATTTTTTTTAATTCAGTTCTGCCTTTAAAAATACCCTTTAAAACTGTCTGTTGCTGCTTTTTTGTTACGAACATACTTGTGTGTCCCTACACATAAGTGATCACCCCCATTTCTGTTCTCCCAGTGCCCTTTCCAGAGTTTACAGTGTGCCATCTCCCAGAAGACAGCTTTTCCTTTTTAAAAAAAAAAAAATCAGAGCTTTTGAAGTACTGAGATTATTTGCCTCTACTGCTCCTTCTCACTGCGCTGGACCTGCCAGACAGAACGTATCCTTTCAGCTAGACATGTAGTTCAATTCCATATCTACCCCCATAGTCCTGCTCTATCCTGATGAATTAGAGAGACTTTTCTAAACCTACCACTTCTCAATAATGGGCTGAGTTTCCTTGCCCAACAGAAAAAGTACAAATGGAATCTTGTAAACAAATGCCTTTCTCTTGCCTAAATCCTTTCATTTATGAGTCTCCTATGCTGTAATGCACATCCTGTGGCAAAGCCTGTTGGTTCTGTTCATTGGCACTACTAAATTGTGCACTTGGCAGACACCAGTCAGCCTAAGGATGTGTTTCCATGCCTGTTGTATATACCAATGTATACTCTTAAAAGGGATGTTGTTAGCTTGAAGTCTAGTCCACTTTTACAAACATGAAAGTTATTTCAGGTGCTGTGTATTTCCAGGTGTTACTCTTACTTCTCTCTCTCTGTTGCCTTGGTGTATCTCTGCCTTGAATGCCAGCCTCACTTCCTCCCTGATCAACAAGCCATTGTCCTGAATGCTCACACTACATTCACCCCTGCTATGGAGGCCACCACTATGTATTACCTACTTGTAAATGTCAGGACTGCCTCTGGATCTTTTTTGTTTGTTTTAATTCAGCATTTCATTAGCTGCCTTCCAGTCATCTGACACCGAGGCTGATTTAAGGGTTAGGTTCTACACCACAGTAGTTCTTCAGTTTTGTAAGAACTTCAGAATACTTTGATAAATACCATGTGGTCCTAGTGACTCATTATTGTTTGTATCAATCTGTTCCCAAACCACCTTGTAGAATCAAATGAAATAAAAATATTAAATGAATCAACATGTTCCATAGAATCGCTATGGATAGTAATTCCATGCTCCAATAATAAGAAATTTGCAGTAGGGATATATTACTTACCAGGACAGCGATACTGACCTAGAAATACTGAGGGAGATTAGAGAGGCTACCAAAATAAAGAACTCTATAATAATGGGGGATTTTAATTATCCCTATATTGACTGGATACATGTCACCTCAGAAAGAGAAGCAGAGAGAAAATTTCTCAATGGCTTAAATGACTGCTTCTTAGAGCTGCTGGTGCAGGAACCCGCAAGGGGGGAGAGGCAATTCTCGATTTAGTCCTGAGTGGAGCGTAGGATCAGGTCCAGGAGATAACCATTACAGGACCGGTTGGGAATAGTGACCATAATATAATAACATTTAACATTCCTGTGGTGGGAAGAACACCTCAGCAGTCCAGCACCCTGGCATTTAATTTAAAAAGGGGGATTTACACAAAAATGAGGAGGTTAGTTAAACAGAAATTAAAAGGCACAATGGCTAGAGCCAAATCCCTGCAAGCCGCATGGAAACTTTTTAAAGACACCATAATAGATGCCCAACTTAAATATATACCCCAAATTAAACATAGCAAGAGACCTAAAAAAGAGTCACCATGGCTTAACCACCATGTAAAAGAAGCAGTGAGGGACAAAAAGGTATCTTTTAAGAAGTAAAAGTCCATTCCTAGTGAGATAAATAGAGACTTGCCAGGTCCCTGGTCAAGGTGTGTGGGGGCAGCTCCTTGCTCCTAGAAGGGGTGGGGCCTCCTGTGGAAGGGCAGTGTTGAGGGGGTCAGTACTGCCGAGGGCATGCCTCACAGAGCTTTAAGGGGCCCAGGGCTCCAGCTGCTGCCACTGCAGCAGTAGCAGCGACCAGGAGCTCTGGGCCCTTTTGAATTGTCAGACCCCGGGGCAGTTGCCTCCTTTGCACCCCTCTGTTGGCAGGCCTGAGTATCATAAGGTAACCTCTTGCTCTTACACTATGGGACAAAATAAAGACTTCTCTGTTTTTAACGATACACTTAAAAATCTTGGTCTCCTTTAGCTCTTTACTATGCCTGATTAAGCAAGCCTAGTTTTCTCAGCTTCTATGTTATATATAAAAACTTACATTAAAACAATGTTAAGGCTGCAAAGTCAAGTACTTAATATTAGGAAATTTTAGAATTGAGTTTGTATGGACACTTATTCTGCTTTCCCTGATATATTTAAAATGTTGAAGGGTACAATTCTAGGTGGTATTCTAGTGATTAGAGTGTCCTCTGCCTTTCTGCCCTTAAACTGTTCCTGTCCCTCTTTGCTCCTAGCCAATCCACCTCACACCTTTCCCTGTGTTCTTATCCAGTTTTGAAAATCTCTTTCATAGTCTTCCATATGTTAAGAAACACTTTGATTTGATCTCCTTTATGTGTTGTGGTTCCATTTTACTTGAGGACAGCGGTGGTTGGAAAGTGAAATAATGTCAGAGCTTGCACTTTTTTGAACTTCCTACTAAAATACATAAAGTCTTTTATATCTGCTAAGTACATCAGAAGCAGGAAGCCTGTTAAACAACCAGTGGGCCCCCTGGATGATCAAGATGCTAAAGGAGTGCTCAAAGATGATAAAGTCATTGTGGTGAACCTAGATGTATTCTTTGCTTCAGTCTTCATGGCTGAGCATATTAGGGAGATTCCCAAACCTGAGCCATTCTTTTTGGGTGACAAATCTGAGGAATTGTCTCAGATTGAGATTTTGTTAGAGGAGGTTCTGGAACAGATTGACAAACTTAATAGTAACAAGTCACCGGGACCAGACGGCATTCACCCAAGGATTCTGAAAGAACTCAGAAATTGTGAAATTGTGGAACTATTAATTGTGGTTTGTAACCTGTCCCTTAAATCAGCTTCCATACCTAATGACTGGAAGATAGCTAAGGTGACTCCAATATTTAAAAAGGTCTCTAGTGGTAATCCTGGCAATTACAGACCGGTGAGTCTAACATAAGTACCGGGCAAATTAGCTGAAACTATAGTAAAGAATAAAATTGTCAGACACATAGACAAACATAATTTGTTGGGGAAAAGTCAACATGGTTTCTATAAAGGGAAATCATCCCTTACTAATCTACTAGAATGGTGATAGAAATGTAGCCGTGTTAGTCTGGTGTAGCTGAAACAAAAAACAGGACTACGTAGCACTTAAAGTGCTACATAGTGCTGTTTTTTGTTTAATCTACTAGAGTTCTTTGAAGGGGTTAACAAACATGCAGACAAGGGGGATCCAGTAGATATAGTATACTTAGATTTTCAGAAAGCCTTTGACCAAGGTCCCTCACCAAAGGCTCTTGTGTAAATTACATGGCCATGGGATAAGAGGGAAGGTCCTTTCTTGGATTGAGAACTGATTAAAAGACAGGAAACAAAGGGTAGGAATAAATGGTAAATTTTCAGAATGGAGAGGGGTAACTAGTGGTGTCCGGCCCCGAGTCCTCCGCCGCTTGCTCCCTATCTCCCTGGTCTGCTGGCCACCCCAGCAGACCAGGGAGACGGGGAGCAGCTTTTCTCGCCCCGGAGGAGGTGGGCGGCAGGACCAGGCGTCCCGCCGCTCCAGTCCTCCGGGGCGAGAAAAATCCCCGTTCGTAACTGCAGATCCGACGTAAGTCGGATCCGCGTAACTCGGGAACTGCCTGTACCCCCAATACATCAATTTCATACACACTGTCAGGGCCTCATTGACTTCAGTGGAACTGTATAAATCCTCCCATGTTGATCAAATTGCAGTAGCACTGCCTTAAACTATAAATCTGACCTTTTAAAATTGGAATACTATTGGGATTTGTGCGCTTTTCAAATTGAAACACCTGAACCGACACAAGAAAGCATGGAATATTTCCGACCAGAGAATGTTTTGGAAAGTTATGAGCATTTGAAAATGGAGTTGGAAATAAATGTGTTTACTAACCTTTACTCTCCAGTACTGTCACTTGTCCTTGCTAACACAGAACCAACCAACCACCATTATCTCTGAAAACTGCCTTTTCCTTTCCTTATACATTCCAGACAGATATCATTGATCACAGTTTTGCAGTAGAGTGGATGCAGGATTTTGAGATCTTTCAAGATGCCTTGAATCAAGAGACAACATATGTTAGTAACCTTACCCGTTCCATGAGCCTGGTATTGGATGAGTTTTACAGCTCACTCAAGGTAAGCTTCCTGACCTGTTTCCTGCTGCCTATGCAGGAATCTCTCTTCACTGCTCTGGGCTGTGGGTCCCTTGTTGAGTCCTGCACCATGGGGTATAGAGGGCACTATTTCTCTGCATCATTCTTCAAAGAATAAGGACCAAATACTTTGGATTACTTTATTCTGCCTCAGAGGAAGAGGAGTCTACAAGCTGGCAGAGGGGTAATATAAAATTAAATTGCAAATAAATCACCAGAGAAAGCAAAGAATGAAGTAGAGGTGCTTTTTGGAGTGTCCCTGTGGGTGCTCCACTGTAGGTGTTTTGACACCCCTGTGCTTCTAATCGGAAGTCTTCGGCAGCAGTATTTCCCCCGGGTACTGGCACTGCTTGTGACTCAGTGAGCATTCTGACACGTGAGCACCATCAATCGTTGCCTCAGTTTCTTCTCAACTGCTCCTGGTTTGGTTGGTACAGAACAGCGCTCCATGATAGAAGTTGTTAGAGTTTATGTAGTTTTATTCATGGTTCTCTTTCTCTCTCCTCCTCTTCCCTATTAGTGTAAAAAAAGGGGGGGGATCACCGTTTTTATTCTATAGTTCTTATATAGTTAGGTTCACTGGGCTTCAAGAGATGCCTGGCCGGCAGAATGTCCATTCCAATCTTGGATGGGCATGCCTAGTGCATTAGATGCCTTACTAATAACCATTCACCAAAATCCTGCTACCACTGTAAGAAGCTCTTAGCCAGGTTACTCAAGACGCAAGCTCCAGCATAAGCTTCTTTCTATGGAAAACACTCAAAGACTGGCGTTGGAACCGCCTTCAACTACATTGCCCCTTTGTACATATCCAGCGGCAATATCAGACCAGGGTTCGGCACCGAGGGACGAGCCCTCCAAAAAAAGGTGAAGAGAAAGCATTCTTTACCTCCTGCTGACAGACCTACAAAGAAGACATCCCTGCAGCACAAGCCCTTTTCATCCAGGGCTAAAGCCTCTAGGGAAGTGCAGGTATCGGGGAAGTCCAGCACGGACAAGCCCCGAGGGGCAGGCTCATCTAAGGATGCATGCCCTCTGGTACAGAAGGCCTTGGTTCTGATGAAGCTGGCACCCAGGACGCTATCACAACCTATGGTGAAGGGGTGACCGCATCCGACTTTGATAACTCCTACAAAGTACCAAGAGCCTCCTGGCACCATAGACATCCGAGGCGCGTGAAGACTTGATACCAAGACCATTGACCACTCAGTGAAATTTAGTGGTATGTCAATACTAGGCACGCTGCTCTTCAATACCAACACAACACCATTATCAGTGGGGCATAGCAGATTAGCCACTCCTGCAAGATCGGTACCTCACTTCTCTAGTGACAGTGAGGATGAGCAAGATGTACAGTTCTGTGTTCAAGATACCCTCAGCGTGTAGACTCACAGGCGGTCTTGTCCTCTTCTTATAGTTTATCAATAAAAAAGTCATCTGAAAATGGTTTTACATATATTTTGCAAGGAGAACAGAGTAATTCACAATTCTAATTAGCAGGGATGCAGAGGAGTATGATTTCCCGCCAAGGAGGTCTAGCCTTTTCAGTTTTTGTCGTATGGGATCGACTTCAGTTGTGCTTTTCCTCGTTATTTGCCACATCAACCACCAGAGTTCCGTGGGATGTGAAAAGAGAAACTTGGCACACATCTTCTATTACACTTTTTTTACTGTGATACAGCTAAACATTATGAATTTAAAGTTACGATGTTGTCACGTTATCTTTAATGTTTATGCTATGAAAATGCTTGAGTCCCATGAGAACTGGGATAAATGGAGCTATATTGTGCTGGGCACTACATACATATATAGAAAGGATCTAGTCTTTGCCTCAAAGAACTTAAAGACGACAAAATAAGTGGGCATAACAGAGTGAGTAAGGAAGAGATGATGAATGTAACAGACACAGGAATGTAGGCTGTATACCATCCTGATAGTTCTGGGTCATTTGAAGGATGGGTCATTTCCGCAGTCATAGTTTTGCATTGCTATCTCCAGAATTCCTTTCCCATAAAGTTTATTAAAGGATGGGTCATTTCCGCAGTCATAGCAATGCAAAACTATCTCCAGAATTCCTTTCCCATAAAGTTTATTTAGAACCCCTTATATGAACAGTTTCTCGTTTCTTTTTCAGGTTGTTGGTGTTTCTGCTGTACTGGGTACAGGACTGGATGAATTTTTTGTGCAAGTCTCTGAAGCTGTAGGTGAATATGAGAGGTGAGATGGTGATTTTCAGTGAGAGGAGAAGGTGTCCTTGAGCTAAAGAATGCTATTCAACTACCCGTTCGTGTGCTTGTTGCTTTGTTTGAATGCGTGCTGGTCTTTTGCAGCTCATTTGGCCAAGAGCAATGGTCCCTGAACTGTGGGGAAAGCCCTCGTAGTATGGTCCAGAAGAATGTTGAGTAAGGCGTGGTATGGCTGGGCCAGCCCTCATAGGAGGTGGTGAGAATGTGCTGCACAGTCCCTCCCCCCGCCAGCCCCAAACGCTGCTCTGCTCCTGACCATGGCAGTGGCCCTGACTCTTAACCACAGAGAGGGTAGGGGGAGGGTGTGACCAAAAAGTTTGCAGTCCACTGGTTTTATTTGTTATAAAACACCTATCGTGTGTGTGCTAGAGTACAAAAATAAGACATTCAAAATGCACAAACTGTCCAGCCATTAATTTCAAAATGGTAATTGCTCAGTAGAAAAAAACAACTCCAGAACAGAGAACCCATTCAAGCCACCTCATTCTTGGAAGCCTCAGAATAGACTAGGTTTGCATTGTGTCCAGAAAGCACACATCAGGGCACTGGCAGACTCAGATATTGAGCAAATTCAAGGACCCTTCACAGGAACATCCTGCCAGAAGTTCTCTCCTCTTCAGACTGATGAAGTTCCAGTTGAAGCCTCGCTGAGATTGAAGTTGTGCCTCTTCTCTCATGGAATACTGTCAGACTGTCTGGTTGCTTTGTAAGGTTGAACTCAATACCAGGGGTCTAAGACTCAGTGCCAGTCCTCACATGCCAGCAACCACATGCTGGCCAGATCGTGGAACTGCTTAGGCTGTAGATGGCTCACAAGCCTTGTGTTTGAAACCCCTGCTCAACACATTGAACTCCCTAAAAAGAGTCCTAAAAAGAGTCATCGTGGCTTCACCACCATGTAAAAGAAGCAGTGAGGGACAAAACGGCATCTTTCAAGAAGCGGAAGTCCTATCCTAGTGAGATAAATAGAAAGGAAGATAAACACTGTCAAATCAAGTGTAAAAATGTAATAAGAAAAGCAAAAAAAGATTTTGAGGAACAGCTAGTCAAAAACTCAAAAAGAAATAACAACATGTTTTTTAAGTACATTAGAAGCAGGAAGCCTGCTAAAAAACCAGTGGGTCCCCTAGATGATCGAGCTATAAAAGGAGCAATCAAGGACGATAAAGCTATTGCGGAGAAACTAAATGATTTCTTTGCTTCAGTCTTCACGGCTGAGGACGTTGGGGAGATTCCTCAATCTGCACCGTCCTTTGTGGGTGATGAATCTGAGGAACTGTCCCGGATTGAAGTGTCATTAGAGGAGGTTTTGGAACAAATAGAAAAACTTAATGTTAACAAATCTCCGGGACCGGATGGCATTCATCCAAGGGTTCTAAAAGAACTCAAATGGGAAATTGCTGAGCTATTATCTGTGGTTTGTAACCTATCCTTTAAATCAGCGTCCGTACCTAATGACTGGAAGGTAGCCAACGTGACACCAATATTTGAAAAGGGCTCTAGAGGCGATCCTGGCAATTACAGACCGGTAAGTCTAACTTCAGTACCGGGCAAATTAGTCAAAACAATAGTAAAGAATAAAATTGTGAAGCATGTAGAAGAACATAATTTGCTGGACAAAAGTCAACATGGTTTCTGTAAAGGGAAATCATGTCTTACTAATCTATTAGAGTTCTTTGAAGGGGTTAACAAACATGCGGACAAGCGGGATCTAGTAGATATACTATACTTAGGTTTTCAGAAAGCCTTTGACAAGGTCCCTCACCAAAGGCTCTTGTGTAAATTACATGGCCATGGGATAAGAGGGAAGGTCCTTTCTTGGATTGAGAACTGGTTAAAAGACAGGAAACAAAGGGTAGGAATAAATGGTAAATTTTCAGATTGGAGAGGGGTAACTAGTGGTGTACCCCAAGGGTCAGTCCTGGGACCAATCCTTTTCAACTTATTCATAAATGATCTGGAGAAAGGGGTAAGCAGTGAGGTAGTAAAGTTTGCAGATGATACCAAACTGTTTAGGATAGTCAAGACAGAAGCAGACTGTGAGGGACTCCAAGAAGATCTCACCAAACTGAGTGATTGGGCAACAAAATGGCAAATGAAATTTAATGTGGATAAGTGAAGAGCAGATTTTACAACCTAATCTGTTAGTATAAAATGAAGGTCTGTTTAAAGACAATAGGGATGTGTTATGTACAAGGCCATATGCTTTTAAGCAGCCACTAGGCAATAGATAAACCTGAGTTCTTAGGGAAAGGGTTGGACTCTACTGCCCCTGTATAAAACTATGGCACGCCCACATCTTGAATACTGTGTACAGATGTGGTCTCCTCATCTCAAAAAGGTATTTTGGCCTTGGAAAGGGTTCACAAAAGGACAACTAAAATGATTTGGAGTTTGGAATGGGTCCCATATGAGGAGAGGTTAAAGCGACTAGGACTCTTCAGTTAGAAAAGAGGAGACTGAGGGGGGATATGATAGAGGTATATAAAATCATGAGTGGTGTGGAGAGATTGAATAAAGAAAAGTTGTTATTTATTAGTTCCTATAATAGAAGAAGTAGAGGACACCCAATGAAATTAAAGGGTAGCAAGTTTAAAACTAATAAAAGAAAGTTGTTCTTCACACAGTGCGTAGTCAACTTGTGGAACTCCTTGCCAGAGGAGGCTGTCAAGGTTAGGACTATAACACAGTTTAAAGAGAAGCTAGATAATTTCATGGTGGTTAGGTCCATTAAAGGCTATTAGCCAGGGGATAGAAATGGTGTCCCTGGCCTCTGTCTGTCAGAGGCTGGAGCTGGATGGCGCAAGACCAACTGCTTGATCATTGTCTTCGGTCCACCCCCTCTGGGGCACCTGGTGCTGGCCACTGTCGGCAGACAGACTACTGGGCTAGATGGACCTTTGGTCTGACCCAGTACGGCCATTCTTATCTTATGTTTTTAGTAGACTAGCCAGCTGGAACCCTCAGGCGGGGAGCAGCACCAAGCCTCTCAAAGCATCTGTGCCTCTCTGTGCTGCGTGCCTGGAGGGGGATGTATTTGCACCCCTAGCACAATCTCTCCATTCCTATTGGCCAATGAGTGGGAGATTATGATGGGAGCAGAGGCAGTGTACGAAGCTCCCCACCCCTTTGGGTGCAAAGCGCAGAGAAGTACACAGAGCGGGCAGATGCTTTGAGCGATCTGGGTCTGTGGCAGACAGGGATCCTGCCTGAATGACCCAATAGGCTACTGGCTGGGAGATGCCTAGGTAAGCATCTCTCAGCGAGAGTCTGCCTCTGGCACCCCACTCCCTTCTGCATCCCAACTCCCAAAAAGCTTGGAAAACTAAGTCCTGCATCTCTCTCTCTCTATTGGGTAAGATGCAAGAAGTGTTCTAAGCTAATGAGCACTGCCAAGAATTAGCCCTTCTAATCAGGCTCCTGAATTCCAAACCTGTGAGACACTTGTCTTTCTCCAACCCTGGTTGTCACCTACCATGCCACACTGGAACCTTTATGGAGTATTATCAAACTACTACAACCCATATTCAATAGAACACTCCACTGCTGCAGTACACCTTTTAGGGTCTAGAGGTCCTACACGTACCTTTTATAACGTGTGGAATACCTCATCCAATACATTTTAAATGCCCCAATAACAGCTATGTGGATGAAACCAGAGAAGCACTATGTTCTTAAATTAACTTTTACAGGAAAATCATAAGCCAACACCTTATCACCTGTGGGTGAACGTTTTTCACAAAATAATCACTTTATATCTGACCTAACGGATGTTAACATTATTAGATGTAGCATTATTAGAATCATAGGAGATTGAGTCCAATCCCCTTGTTAAAAACAGGACCATTCCCAACTAAATCATCCCAGACAGGGCTTTATCAAGCTCGGACTTAAAAACTTCTAGGGATGGAGATGCCATCATCTCCCTAGGTAGCCCATCCCAGTGCTTCACCATCCTCTAGTGAAATAGTTTTTCCTAATATCCAACCTAGATCTTCCCATTGCAACTTGAGACCATTGCTTCTCATTCTGTCATGTTACCATTGAGAGCAGCTTCTCAACATCATCTCTTGAACCCCCCTTCAGATAGTTGAAGGCTATTAAATCCCCCCTCCCTCTTCTCTTCTGTAAGCTAAATAAGACCAAATCCATCAGTCTCTCTCCTCATGTGCTCCAGCCCCCTAATCATTTTTGTTGCCCTCTGCTGGACACTTTCCCCTGTGACTACATCCTTCTGTAATGGAGGCTCCAGAATTGGGCGCATTACTTCAGATGTGGCCTCACCAGTGCTGAATAAAGGGGAATAATCACTTCTCTTAATCTGCAATGCTCCTCAATATGCTGTTAGTCTTCTTGGCTACAAGGGCACACTGTTGACTCCTATCCAGCATCTCATTCTCGGTAATCCTCAGGTCTTTTTCTGATGAACTGCTATTTAGCCAGTTGGTCCCAAGCCTGTGGCAGTGCTTGGGATTCTTCCATCCCAAGGGCAGGACTCTGTACTTGTCCTTGTTGAACTTGATCAGATTTCTTTTGGCCTAATCCTCAAATTTATCTAGGGGTGGGCAAGATACCTTTCGCCGGTTAGATCCAGCCTGCCAAGCCACTGGGTCTGGCCTGCGGACACCCTGCTGGGACCCTCAGGCACACAGCAGCCACTGTTTTAGGCAGAGGGCTGTTCCGTGTGCCTTTGCTTTGGAAGGAGGGGGAGGCTTCATATGATCTTCCTGCCCCCATGCCCAATCCTCAACTCCTATTGGCTGGAAACAACCAGCCAATAGGAACTGAGAGATTGGCCTGGGGGATGCAGCAGGGCCAGGGGCCTGCATATGGAGGGACCCTCCAGCTGTTTTGAGTAGCCTGAGGCTGTGGGAGGCAGGGAGCCTGCCTTGGGGTCCCTGCTGGATTGCTGGCCGGGAGTTGCCTAAGGTAAGGACCTTCCAGCCAGAGTCTTGGCACCTCTTCCCTCAA